CCGAATGGATCATAGCTGGGCTCTCATTCTCTTCCACGTCTTGCTGCGAACCGCGATTTTCGGCCTTGATCAGAAACTTGTCTAGTCCCAGCTCGCGCAAAGTAGGAAGCGGTATCCCCGGCTTGTCAATGATGTGGAGCAACTGGCCTCTCATCAAGAAGCTGGGCTGTGCCGACATGAAGGGAGTATTTGGTGTGTTGCATTCTAAACCCGCACAGCAGTGAATCGTCGTTGTTAACTCACAACCACGGCCCTCAGATGGTGTTTCACGGCCCATATCGTCGAGTTTGTTGCAGCGGTCTTGAGAAGAAGCCCCGCGAGCGACGGAGACCGTAGTCCATCTCATGGGGTTGCGCCTATCCAAGATTAACAGCATAGCGAAACGAACCTGAAGGAGAAATGTGTCTTGTCTACGACGTGGATTAACGAAGAAGCACGTTGTCTTATTTAACAGCGTGCTTCAAGCAATACTGTGAGAATGCGTGGTACAATCTGTTGGATTTCGTCAGTGGTGTTACCGTGATTTCTGTTTGCATCTACGAACACCAGCGCCGTAAATTGGCATAGGAGGTGTAACGCTAGTTAGTTAACCCACTTTCTCACAGAAGCTCACCATCCCCCTGACTCTAGCAAGCTTTGACGATCACCAACGCAATCGCTAACGGGCTTTGAAATCTTACCCACTACTACACGTAAATGTGACGGTTACTGGACGACCGCGGCAAAGCAGGATGCACGGTACTACGGATGGCGATGCGACAGACTGATTTCATCGTCAGGATTCCCATCGCTCGAATACATACACACTACAGAAGGACTCATAATCACATCTCAATGATTGTCTCCGCCGCAAGTCAGCTAGCGATCCCGAACTGCTCTGTTATCCAGTAGTAGAAGAGAGCTAATTGAGAACGAATCAGCTAGGATCCCTTTGTTGTCAAGACGTGGCGACAACCGACTCCGTCTATAAGACTATGGCTCATTCGTCTATAAGATTTAAGCTTATTGTAATGGCTCCGATCAACGCGCTACGTCCGACTATGTAGCCGAGCATCGTTATACACAGTGCGACTCGCGTTCAACAGCCTCATAGCTTGAACTCGATAGTCGACTCAATCTCACATCTCGGCTTATACAGCCGATGATCACTGAATCTAGACATCATGGCACATGCTCCTCGTCATTGATAACCAGATTCCGGCGTTCAGGCAGAGTATCAAGGCGATATCGAACGTTAATCTCCAAGATAGTTGACAGTGATGCTTGTCGT